ATGCTTAAGAAAATAGATTTAAAATCAATATCCAACTGCGGAATCCATTTTCGGATTTGAGCAGAGTAGATTAGAAATAGACATGTTTTTTTCGTTTTTTTTGTTCTGTATCCCTAAAATCAGAAGAAACAAAATTTTTAAACTCAAAATTAAAACTCTATATCTCTTTTCTCTGTTCGGATGCCATGAAATCAAAAGAACAATTGAAAATAAGAAGAATAAAATTTCTGAAGAACAAAACCCCAAAAAAAAGAAGCCTCCAAAAATCCTTAAACCTTTTCTTCCATATCTTTTTTACTCCAAAAATCTCTCTAAAAATCTTCTTCTGAAAAAAAATCCCCCTTTCAAAAGAGAAATTTCACCTTATATAGACCCCTCAGATTTCTCGAACCTTCTCCACAGACCCCTCCGAAATTCTTTGCAATCTCTTTCTATGAACGATTTTTGGGACAGATGGAGGGCAATGATTGATTTTCATCCATCCACGACCCCCATTTATCCAGCAAATCGATCGAGAGGCTAAACAACGCTCAAAAAAATCTGAAGGGAATCTTCTGTTGTCAGAAACCGTTACACATATGGTGACGAGGAGAGAGGGGGAATGCGTGGGGTGAATTTGAGCTCACTCGCCTGAAATTTGGCGAGTTTGACGCGGCTCTGACGTGAAGAAGATGATGAATAGTCGCGTTGAGTGAGGTATTTTGATTTGGGTCTCTGTATGCGTCTGTGTGTGTATTTGTGGAGAGTGGGTCGGGTTAAAGGGGAACGGGCGCAGGTCTGGGCGGGTATGGGCTGCGTTTTGGACGGGTTTCAGGGGTGTGGGGTTTGGGCTTGGAGATGAATTAATTTAATCTTGGCCCAAATTCCTTTTCCTTTATTTTACCTCTTTTTCTTTCTTTTTTTTAAATTTTTCTAATTTCTTCTAAATTAACATTAAAAATAAAAATAGATCTAAATTGATTTCTAATCAAGTCATCCTACAAAATTAAATTAACTACTCCAAATGATAACTACACAACTAATTAAATACCAAAATAATAGAAAAACCACCAAAATTTGAAATTAAAATTAAAAGTGCATAATAAACTATTTTGTGCTTTGTTCCATTTTTATAAAACACTAAAATACTAACTAATTCAAGAATGCAAAATTAGATCCTAAATACAAATGCAGCATATTTTTGTATTTTTCATTAATTAAACAAAAATAAAATGCACAGACAAATGCAAACAATTATCAGAAAATGCCATAAAATCCAAAAAGTCGTTACTTGTAAAGTACTGATTTTTCAGAAAAATCAGTACTTTTCAGAAATTGGATCCGTTATGAATGAAGTAATTTTGGACTTGCTGAATCACAACCAGAGGTAGACGAAGCTTACGAAGAAATGCTAGCTGAACTTGCGGAGGATGCAGCTTCGCCCGGAAGCGGTGATGAACAAGCTTCTTTTCAGCCACCACCAACGAAAATTCCTCCGAACCTTTATGGATTTATGAAATTTGTAAGAGATATCATGTAAAATTAATATGTAACTTGTATTTTGTCATATCTTGATTAGTTTCTTTTTTTTCTCAATGGTGGTATTAGCACCTTGGTTGTGCTCATTCCATTGGGGGAGGGGGAGACTAAAAAAGATTGTGCCATGTTTTGTTAATGTCATAATAATAAAAATTATAACGCATTCCTTTAAATATCTTTTTACAATATTTTGTCTTTTAAATTTGAATTAAAAAATTTTAAGTCACAACTATATAATATAATTTACAAGAAATTGCCTTAGACCCATATATATATATAGTGCCACGACCCAAACCGAAAGACCGCGACCGGCACCCGGTGCCTTACTCAACCGAGTACCAACATAACATATCTTTCTTATTATACTATCTTGAGTAAATGAGCTAGAAACCCGTCATGAGATAACAAGAATAAAACGTAAGGTAATACTCAACATATGATGACCCAACATGATATACAAACTTATACATGTGACATACGGGCCTATAAGGCCGACATGACCATTTGTAAACTCAACACATAGGCCAACAAGGCCATACAAGTATCCATAAACCTGACATCTGTCTACAAGCCTCTAAGAGTACATAAAATCATAAAGGCCGGGACAGGGCCCGCCATACCAATCAATACATATTCAAAGCATACTGACCAAATAGGCAACTCTGGAGCAAGTAGAGTGCACCAACATCTCCGCTGAGCTGATAGCCTACTAGGAAGACTGCCAACCTATCAATCGGGACCTGTGGGCATGAAACACATCATCCCCAGGCAAAAGGGATGTCAGTACAAATAAAGTACCGAGTATGCAAGGCAGAAAAGCATAAACAAGAACATTAATGTAAAGAGAGATAGAGGAGATACAACATGTAACATCTGAGTGCCTCTGGGGGATACTGACATGAAATGCATAATACATATATACATAAACTTTTAAAAACATACGCCTCTGTGGGCATCATCATCATCATATCGTACCCGACCTCAAAGAGGACTCGGTAAAAATGTACCCAGATATTATAAGGCTCGGTAGAATCGTACCCGGCCACGTGGAGCTCGGTAAACCCAACTGATCAGTGGTTGCACAATAGGTATTGTACCCAGCCTATTATAGCGCGGCTCGGTAGAGTAAAATAGATGCTATATATAATGCATGTTGGACTCATGGAATCACGTTCTAAACCTTTTGGATTGACTTAAGGTCGTTGCACCTTCGATTAACACTATGGACATCATACCATCAATATAAGCTTCTATAGGATTCAAGGATCGTACATACTTGCTTAAAATAAATTTATAAGGAAAGAACAACATGGGCAACCTTAGTTTATAGGAGTAGATCCGTTATGAAATAGCGTATTCATTTCGCTTTAGATCATGCCAAAAGAAATAAGGAAGTGCCTTAACATACTTTAACCATGGTGAGTCCTTAATACCTCCCAAGCTACTTTTCAAACAACTCAACTTAATCTACCATTGCATAAGGATATTCAAAATCAGTGTTGAATAAAGGCCAAGTCTGCAACTTAAACTTGCAGCTCGTTTATATAAATTCGGGCAGTATCTCCCCGGTAACAAGTGCCTCCTCCAATATCATATTCCAAAAACAATTACCAGAGAAATCTAACAATACATAATTATCAATAACAAGACACCATAAAATAACAACAAGTCATAACTATTTTACGACGAGCGACAAGCTCCAATTGGAATTCGTATACCCAATATCATCCCTTATATACTTTTTACTTTAACTTAATAGTATCATTAACATGATAATGAAGTCATTCATCAATAATTCCAGTCTTATACCATATATCCATAACAAAAAAAAATGATCCACAACTCCAATTATTCTTAATTAGCAATTTTATTCACTAGTTCATGTCTAGTTCATCCATTTAACTTAACCAATGCCAAGATAACCTTAAGAACCGGTAGGAACACAATATAATTACCTCATACAGTAGATGCAAGTCGAAATCCATATTATATTTAGCTTACAACAGCCCAATACACCCCAATCAATTCATATCCAAAACGACGACTATAGTAGTGTCAAACATAATGACTAATCCATGATTTTGCCATTATGTAGTGTTTCTCCACACCATTTATCCTCCAAAAACTCCATTTAACAGCAACAAAATAGACATCCCAAAAGCTACACGAAACAGCCCAAAAACAGTCAATTACAAGTCAAATAACTTGAACTCACGGCTTCCGATCACCGTCCCGTGAGTTCTAACTTTTATGAAATCAATTAATCAACCTTCCTTGATATTTAAGACCTTAAAACCAGAAATTAGGCATTTTTATTAACTTCAAAATACCTTCTAAACTCAAACTATAAAGAAGAAAAAGTGATATAGCGATACTTATGTCGCAGAGATCATTTTGATGTTATCGCTACTTAATTTTGTGCCCCAGATGATAGTATCGTTGAAAATCCTTGTAGAGAGCTTAAGGGTGATGTTAGGGGTCTTATTTGGTCATGCTCTCTGGACAGAAAGAGACGAGATAAAGGAGATAAATCTCTACTTTGTTGAAAAGTAAAAAAGGTGCTACTTGGCACCATCTCATTAGCCTTTTTTCAAACACTTATATCTTTTTATCTGGATGTCGCATGAACGGACGGTTAAGAGCGTTGGAAACTACATTTCAAGACCTTCAATTTGGTATATAATATGTTCCAAAAATACCTCATATAGCACACGAAATTTATTACTCAAAAAGCTTCATTACAAGGCAAATCCTTAGTCGGTTTTTCCGCAACTTAAATCTGATTTTTCTCAAACTTTATACTTCATATACAAACATCATATATAGTCATATCATGGCTTTAAACTCATTTAAATCATGATTAAAAAGTCTCATATTCATCTTAACTTGCTTAACACTTCGGCAAACCTTTCTTGTCATTGTAGAAGGATTTCATCCTTTTTGAGCTTACATCAATTGACTCACGACGTACTTTCAGGTACAAAAACATGGGTTGTAACATATAGATATAGTATATATAATATATATATATATATAAGCTATATAATTTACAAGAAATTGCCTTAGATAAAAAAAAATAAAAAAATAGGCCAGGCCCACTTAGGCCCACATAGGCCCGGGACCGGCCCACTTTGCCCGGGACCATTAGTTCGTGGTCCCGATTCTGGTTCGGTTACCTCCAAAAGGCCACGAAACCCGGGACTGTTTAAGCCTATCCCACGAAGCCCGGACCCACATAGGACCGGCCCACAAGGCCCGTTTAGGCCCGGACCCGGCCCGTTTGCCAGCCTCAGGTACAAGTCACAGTTAAGATAGCCAAATAATTATGATTATTGTTCGCGAAAAATTCAAAAATTGAGTTTGTATATTCCAAATTTTCGAGACTTCAAACAAATACCACTCGGTTTTGAACAAGTCACATTGTCAGAATCATTTGACACACACACCAAACACACACAATAGGAAACTCAGCAAGCTAGAGATGAAGAAACCATAGACCAAAAGTACTCATTGATGGCCAAATCTTGTATATATAGTAATACTGAATTAACACACGAAAGAAGTATCTCAAAAATTCAATTTATGAGATACACTTATTTTTCTGATAGAAACCATAAGATTGTGCCATGGCATACAATTTTGGAGCCAAATCTTGAATTTCACCACATGCCACAGACATGGTAATTCCATCCATTCTTCACACACCTGTGACCGCAGGCTGAGTTCGCACATTCGCTGTCAGATACACAAAGAGGTGGGTCGATACAACCACCAAATTTTTTTTGACGAGTCGAATATTCTCGATCTGCAAAGAAAGAAAAAGTATAAATTAAATGATACTTCATTAAAGATCAGGACAAGGAATTTAATTATTTCCACGTACACTAAACTTTGAGTCTATTATAACTTAACTAGTTGGCAATAGTACAACTAATGCATGTGCTCATGCATGTTGTAAATCTGTACGATTCAACAATATATATACTTAGGCACAATATAATCATAAGATAGTAGTATTTGCAAACATCGAATCACGTATATTTATAAATAATTGTTGCAAAATACTCCATGAAAGGGAAGGAATTTAATTTTATTTCCGGATTTAGGGATTGGATTTCGCCAGCCATTCAGATGTGGGATCGTAGAAATCAAGTAATTATTATGGTAGATCTAATTGGTTTACATTTGGCTGTCTGCCTATTTAAAAAAAAAAAAACAGCTCGGTACACTAAGCTTTTATTCTGCACAGGGTTTGGGGAAGAGTCAGACCAGGGTTTATTTTACGCAACCTTACCCTGTATTTCTGCAAGAGCCTATTTCCACGGCTCGAACTCGTGACCTCCTCGTCACATGGCAGCAACTTCACATGTATGTTCAAAAGAATGTAACTGACGCGAAGTATAATGAAGCAAGTTTAGAACAATAGTCATACCATATCGAGTTATGAAAACTTGAAACACTCCATCAAGTGCTTCTGGTTTAGCCTCTTGATCAGATACTGGAAGTTGTAGAACATTTAACTGATCATCACTTGACTTCACCACCTCATTTGCATTAAGCAGCTGGAACACTGTAAGATAAATTACGTACATAATTAGTGTTCTATTTCCTCAACGGATATTGGGAGGGCAAATAAAATATGTTCCCTCCGTTTCATATTAAATGAGGTAGTTTGATTCGGTACGGAGTTTAAGAAAAAAGAAGAAGACTTTTGAAACTTGTGGACTTAAAAGCTTAAGGGGTAAAAAGTTTGTGGAGACATGACATTTGTGTGGCTATAAAAGTTTCTCATTAAGGGTAAATGGGTAAAATAAAAGAGTTTAAAGTTGAATTATTTCCAAATTTATAAATGTATCATTTATTTTGGAACAGACTAAAAAGGAAAGTACCTCATTTAATATGAAACGGAGGGAGTATATGCAATTACTTACAAGATGTAAAAAGTAAGAAAGCAATAATAGAAGCAAACTTTGTTGAAGAACTCTTGCAATTCATTGTGCTATATTGTAAAGAAACAGTAGTAGTAGATAAGTAGGTGTGTCTATTTCATTGAGGCCATTGAGAAATTTATAGGGATAAGCAAATCTAATTTTTTGCAAGTTGCTTTATTAAACCTAGTATTTTATATGAGATACTTTAATACTACCAAAATACAGCTGTTCGTGTCTCCCTAAATCTGACTTTTTGCAAGTTGCTTTCTTTTACCTATTATTTTACTATGAAATTTTTTCACATGGCTATAAGATATTGTCAGGAAATATTTTAGGAATATAAATATGTGATTTTAGAAAGAGAGAAAAATGTTGTAGCTAAAAAGTCAATCTATCCCACTTGCTTTCAAAATAACAGCACAAATTTTTGAGCATTGAAATATTAGTAAGAACTTACGTACATCAACAAAATGTAAGACGCATGCCTTGCACATACACATATGCCATAATTATAGTTAATTAATACATATTTTAAGTTTAAACTTTAACTTTCTACGAATAAATGTTTAATTTTAGTGAAGATATTGTTGGGTGCATGCAAGACATATACCTTCACCGTTTATATGTTCAATTGGAAACTATGGTGAATGGAGGTGTTAAACGGGAAGAAGTAGGCTAAAATAATATGAAAAGAAATTGTCTCGAAAGACCTACAAATCCTTGGAATCAATGTAAACTTAGCTATTGATAATTAAGGCAAATCTATGTAGGTAATACTTACTAGTTAAGAATAGATTTTAAATACTAATATTTTTCTTATTATTGTTACTTATATATATATATATATATATATATATATATATTCATTACTACTCTTATTTTATTTCAGTATAATAAATGTGAGTTGAACTTAAAAAAGAAGTAACTTTGTTTGGGAATGATGCGTAATTGTTGTTATTGCTACGTTGTTGCAATGTAAACATATGAATAATTCTCTCACCTGTAACCAAAAAGAAAAAATCAAGTTGATGATTTAAAAGACAAGCAATCATTAGTAACTAGATACGCTAATCGTACACAGAAGAAATAATTAAATAAAGACTCTTAGATCACGCAGATGATAGTAGCCATTGATTTGTATCATCATCCGAACACATTGCTGGAAAGAGTGTACGTACAACTATAGATATACACTATGTGAGTTCCTTTTTACTGGTCCAGTATATTAAAAATAATTTTTTTATACTTGTTTTCTTTATCAAATCAAAAGATAATTTTCTTTTTTTGGTTTTAGTCTTATCATTAAGTAACAATTTCTTAAATCTATTACAGTAGCAGTCAAACTTGAATTTCCAAATCAATGATTAATAAGAGGTAATTTAGTAAAATAAATACTTAAGGTGAATGCAAAGTGTAGGACAAGTAAAAGAGAACATAGAAACATAATAAGTTCCAATTTCCAAGTTTTATCTATTTTAATTTAAACGATTACAAAATTAATACTCCGATGGCCATATGCCAACGGCCTGTTCCAAACAATGCTTATCCATTAGTAACATTATTATTATTTTGATATGATACAACCAATTAAAAAAATAACAATAAGAACGTCAATTTGATGAAATGAACATTAGTTTTATCGAATGAACGACATAATGAGAAATACTAGCTGGAAAAAAAAGTGATAAATAATTGTCCAAGTCAAATACTTCATCTTGCTATTTCAATTTTTATGGAAAGTTGACGAATATATTAATGGTTTTAAAAGTCGTCCACTCAATTGTCTGTTACTTCCTTCGAGTGAATGAGTCTGGAGGGCGAGATTTGTGGGGTCCATCCTTATAAATGAAGAAGAAGAAAAATAGATGTGATAAAAACTTCTAAGTTATTTTTGGCAACCACCGTTTTTGTTGAATTGCTCAAATTGAAGAGTTTGAATATTTCTTTCTTTCTTTTGATGCCACTGATGACATCTGTAGGGATATAGAATCACTATAAATAGAGAGCTTCTGAGCCATTTGTAAGACATCACACAGAAAGAGAAGCAACACAATAGTTGCAAAGAATATTTCTTAGGCATTGTGAGAAATAGACTGCATAGAAGAAAATAGAGAGAGAGCAATATTGTAGTGAGGTGGGAATATCAAAAGAGGGTTATTTCTTTTGAGTGTTGTAGTGGTCTTTGGAATATTTTACTCGGGCCTACAAAGTGTAAAATTCCTTACTATAGTGATATCAGTTGCTCCTCTTGGGGCCGTGGTTTTTTTCCTTATTCAGAGGGGTTTCCACGTAAAATCTTGGTGTCCTTATTGCTGTACTTTTACTCTTGTCGATATAACCATAATTTAGTGTTTCATGTTTATCACTAATACTGTAAATATTATTTTTACGGGGTTTATTCCCAACAAGTGGTATCAGAGCCAAGGTTCTATCTGAGTATGCTCTATGGTTGCAGCACAGTCTGAACTTCTACATCAGAAAAGAATTACTTTGGTCTCCTATAAATAGTATTTGTATTTGTGATAAACGATGGAAGCCAACACTAGTAGAATGTTCACTATGAATGACACAAATTATGCCATTTGGAAGGGCAAAATGGAAGATTTGCTCTATGTCAAGAATTTTCATCAACCTGCCTTCACCATTATAAAGCTTGATAATAAATCAGATGAAGAGTGGAATTTGTTACACAGGCAGGTTTGCGTCTTTACTAGACAGTGGGTTGACGATAATGTTTTGAACAATATTTCTGGGGAGACACATGCTCGAACCCTATGGGAGCATCTTGAAAGTTTGTATGCTCGAAAAACTGAAAACAACAAAATATTTCTGATAAAGCAGATGTTGGGTTTAAAATACCACGATGGTTCCACGATGATAGATCATCTGAATAATTTTTAGGGGATCATGAACCAGTTATCTGCTATGGGCATTAAATTTGATGAAGAAATTCAAGGCTTGTTTCTACTTGGTTCCCTACCAGATTCTTGGGAAGTTCTTAGAACTTCATTATCAAATTCTGCTCCGGATGGTGTGATCTCTATGGATCTTGCCAATAACAGCCTTTTAAATGAAGAAATGAGAAGAAAATCTCAGGGTTTCTCCTCATCAGATGTCTTGGTGACTGACTCTAGGGGGAGAAGCAAGAATCGGGGTTCTCAAAATAGAGAACATAATAGAAGCAAATCCAGAAGCAGACTTCAAGATATTGAGTGTTATCATTGCGGAAAGAAAGGGCATACATAGAAGTTCTGCCGGATTTTTAAAAAGGAGAATAAAGAGACAAGGAAGAACAGAAAGAAGATGGCAACCGTGTGGCCACCGTCACTACAGAAGATCTTGTTACTGTCCTTGATGCGGATCTGATAAATATTACTTGTGATGAATCAAGTTAGGTTGTGGACAGTGGTGCCGCATCTCATGTAACATCAAGGAAGGAATTTTTCTCATCCTATACTTAGGGTGACTTTGGAACTTTGAGTATGGGTAATGAGACTGTATCTAGGGTGGCTGGTGTTGGAACAATTTGTTTGGAAACTAGTATTGGAACTAAACTAGTTTTAAACAATGTAAAGCATGCACCTGATATTCGTTTGCACTTGATCTCTGTTGGTGTTTTGGATGATGAGAGATATGTCAGTACCAATGGTGCTGGAAAGTGAAAGCTCACTAAGGATTCCATGATTGTGGCTCGTGGGAAAAAACGTCGTGGTCTATACTGGACTACGACCTCTACCTGTGTTGATATGGTGAATGCCGTTGAGAGCAATAACTCTTCAATATTATGGCATAACAGGCTTAGCCACATTAGCGAGAAAGGACTAAATGTTCTAGCCAAGAAGAAATTATTGTCAAATTTTGAAAGTGCAAAATTAGAAAAATGTGAGCACTGCTAGGCTGGAAAACAGAAAAGAGTTTCTTTCCAGTCTCATCCTCCTTCAAAAAAGACAAAGTTGCTTGAGTTGGTGCATTCAGATTTATGTGGTCCAATGAAGACAAAGACTTTTGGTGGTGCACTTTATTTTGCTACCTTTATTGATGATTGCTCAAGGAAACTTTGGGTCTACATCTTGAAAACTAAAGACCAAGTGTTGGGTGTCTTTAAGCAGTTTCAAGCTTCAGTTGAAAGAGAAACTGGAAAGAAGCTGAAGTGTATTTGTATTGATAATGGTGGTGAATATTGTGGATCGTTTGACAAATACTGCAAGCAACAGGGTATTAGACATCAGAAGACTCCTCCTAAGACTCCTCAGCTTAATGGTTTACCAGAAAGGATGAACATGACCTTGATGGAAAGAGTCAGATGTTTGCTTTCTGAAGCAAAGTTATCGAACTCCTTTTGGGGTGAGGCTTTGTTGACCGTCGCACATGTTATTAATCTATCCCCTGCGGTTGCTTTGCAAAGTGATATTCCAAACAGAGTTTGTTATGGCAAGGATGTTTCTTATGACTACTTGAAAGTGTTTGGTTGCAAAGCTTTCGTACATGTGCCTAAAGATAAGAGGTCAAAATTAACTGCCAAGACAAGGCAGTGCATCTTCATTGGTTATGGCCTTGATGAGTTTGGTTACAGGCTATATGATACAATTGAGAAGAAGGTCGTGAGAAGTCGTGATGTTATCTTCATAGAGGATCAAATTTTTGAAGATATTAAAAAAGTAGAGAAGCTAAAATCTCCAAGTTCTGAAGGTTTAATTAATCTTGATCAAGTTCCTCATACAAATGCGGATGACGCTGGTGGGCTCAATAATGATAGTGATGCCCAGAACCATATTCTAGATTAGCATATTGATGATGATGGTGATAACAATGCTAATGATGATGAGGTAAATGCTCCTACTCACGAAGCTGTGGAGGAGTTAGATATTCCACTCAGGAGGTCTTCTAGACCTCGTACTCCTTCCTCACATTATTCACCCAATGAGTATGCATTACTCACTGATGGGGGAGAACCTGAATGTTATACGGAGGCCATAGAAGATGAGTACAAGGATCAATGGATTGAAGCCATGCAAGATGAGATGAAATCTCTGCATGAGAACCATACTTATGAGTTGGTGAAATTGCCTAAGGGCATGAGAGCTTTGAAGAACAAGTGGGT